TTCAGATAGGCGTCAGTGTGCATTTTTTTCGGTAAACGCTGTGTTATTTTACAATTTCTACCCCGTCTGAGCAGAATATCCAGAAATGGTAGAGTTCTGTCAGCTTCCACTTCCATGGTGAACTGGATGGATGGGTTTTGCGAGTTGAGATGATTTAGAAATTCGTTCAGTGTATCTTTGCCGTGTGGCCAGACAACCAATGTGTCATCCACATATCTAAACCAAGCAGATGACTTTAGTGTGCTTGAAGCTATTGCTTTTGTTTCAAAATATTCCACGTACAAATTCGCTATCACAGGAGACAAAGGAGAGCCCATTGCTGCTCCTTCCTTTTGTTTATAGAAGTCACCTTTGCACAATAAGTTGGTGTTCTTTAGACAGTGTTCAGCTAGTCGTGGGGTATCTTTGGCTAAACCTTTGTTTGTTACCAGAGAGTCGAGTAATTTAATTGACTCGTTGACCGGAACCCTCGTGAACAGAGAAGTCACATCAAAACTTATGATAATATTATTAGGGTTAAGTTTAATATGTGTAATTATATTAACGAGATATTAATAGTTTTTTTATGAAATAATACGTCCTAACGGTGTAGGGGTGTATTTGTTTCGTTACGTATTGTGCTCATTTGTACGTGGCAGAGCCTATTGTGCTAACTGTGGGTCTTAAAGGGCAGTATACTTCAATAGGGATTACCGTTGGTACGGCTATTTTAATACACAATAGACAGGAAGGACAAGATCAAATGGCTCGTATAATGCATAATGTACGTTTGACTCAGAATCCCCCCCCCCCCCCCCACATTATGCAAGAGCACAGAAGCGTGGTCACCACATCTTCGCCTCTATATAAGGAACGAAACAGGTGGACTTCTCCACAAATCTGGCTGTCGCCTGATGAAGCTAGTTGTCATTACTGGCGAAACGTCGTACTCAGATTGTAAATGTTGTGGCTTGGCTCTCCAACACACCGGTGTGCTGTACTAGTGACGAATTGCCACGTTCTGTTTACGTGACAACCCTTACTAGTTGGCTGTGTCGGGTGGTGGTGGGTTTAACGAAACATTTATATATGTTTACGCGATCTAACCCCCCCAAAAAACCTCTATTATGGATGATATTGGTCGCGAAAGCCTACTACGTGTTAAACTGGCATGCGTTGTTTACGTGACAAACTTACTAATTGGCTGTGTCGGGTGGTGGCGGGTTTAAGGACGTAATTATATTTACGCGATGTAAACCAAAAAAAACCACACTCTTATTATGAATCTTTTTCGAAACTTTGCAAATTTGGACCGTGGCACCAGCGCAAAATGAACGAACTAATTTCGACTGAAGTCACGGGGATTTCTCGCACCCACTGTGGTTAAAAGTCAGGACGGCCTGCCTCGGGACTCGAACCGCAAACCTCCGCCACCAGCGGCGAACGCGCCTCCACTGGGACATATTCCACGTCCACAGAATGCACGGCGATTGTACACGGATGGTCCAGATGTCTTGGGACCCCCCCCGCCCATCCCACCCCCATCCCACCCCCATCCCACCCCCATCCCACCCCAATTAATTGAACCCTAACATTGTTTGTTTGCCTTTGCATATTAATTTCTGCTTTAAATAAACGTTGCTTAAAAAAAAGACAAATTACGTTTTAGAGAATTAAATGGGGCTCACATGACATCTGGACCACCCCCTGTAGGTGAGTCGTTGCAGAGCCCTCTTCTCTCGGCAATGAAAGTGTATGCAAGATGATAGCGCAGCCCTACCCTGAAGTGATCTCATGCTGTCCTCTCCATCTGCCCCACGCTGCCTCGTGACGTCTACAGAAGCGGTGGAGTCGGGCAGGGGGGGGGGGGGAGACGCATGGCTCCAAACTGGGCAGGATACAAACCCCACTTTTGTTTTTTTCCAATCTCGGGTAACGCGTGCAGGTGGCTTAATTGATCATTGCAATATGAAGGCGACGTGCGGTGATGAGTGAATCAGGCCTGGGTTCCAATTACGGTAAGCCTCCGGGGAAGCTGCATGGGCTTCGTTCGCCCGTCTGGAGAAGGAGTTGATGATGATGATGATGATGACAAAGAATCCACTGCCAGCATATTCCAGTTTTTTTTTCATGGATCCCTATGTGAGTCCATGGGAATTTGTGTTCGCTTATGGATCTGTGTGTGGGCAAATGGGTTAACGTATGGCTGTCTATGTGAGTCTGTGGGTCTCCATCTGAGAAAGCATTGATCATTGAAGCCACGGCCATCACACTCCACTGACTCAATGTATCCGCCAGACAGTGGGGAAACCTGAAGGCAAAGGAATTTGTAGCCTCCTCAACCTTGTGCTGGGCAGCAACACTGAGACGTAGCTCTTGTGAGTGGACAAGCCCAGGGTGACCCCAGTGACCCTGAAGACATGCGGGGTGCCAGGGATGCTTTTGCCTGGAGGTAGAGCAGCAGCCTCCCTCTCGGCGCCACTCAATGGACGAGTGGGGGGCTCAGTGAGTGGCCTCTGGTCCAAGTGGGGAGCAGACGTGTCGCAGTTAGCGCTCCGAACCCGGCGACCCGAGTTTGATTCCCCGTCACGGCCAACACTGGCGATAATTATCTGAACCGGTGCTGGGTCTCTCCAAGGTCGACTCAGCCTCGAGTACCTGGTATGGTGTATTAAAACATCGCCACTGGGGAGACAAAGGCGGCCGGGCGTGGTGTTGTCTACCCACACCCTCGTGTGCCGTGCGGCGTTCATAGTTGTTCGCCAACATCACTTTCCGCCAACACTCTGATAGTACGGGTCATCGGGTTCATAGTGCAGCGCGCTAACCGCTGCGCCACCGCTCCCTCCTCACACACTCACACACTCGCCCGGCGGAGCGTGCGCCACAAATCACCGCGCAGGAAGTAGCAAAGACAAAAGTTTGAGTTTATTTGAACCTTAAATTCCGCAGACGGACGATGCTACTAAGTCTCTAAAGCGTTCGGGAAATGCGGATGTCGGTGACGGTTTGTAATCCAGCTAAAGCTAGGATGAGTTTGGTCCATTCATAGACAGTATCACATGCTTAAACAGGCTGCATTTTCACTTTGTACACATTGCCAGTTAGAATACGAAAACACAAACAAACGAAAAAATGGTCACCGTTTAAAGAGACACTGCATATTTCGTTTAAGTGGTAATGGTTATTTATTTACAAGTGCACACTTGTTTGTGCCATTGCGAATGTCTGGCCGTGCCCTCTTGCGGGACTCTGTTGGGCAGTTGGAAACCGAAGACGGGCCTACCGGTTTACTTTCTGGAGATGGCGTTCGGCCTGCTTGTGTATACTGGATATCTGCGAGGAAGAGCTTCAAGAAAACGAATTCCATGAGTTTTGAACGTTTTAGCGCCAATCGTGTCACCGGGCGATCGTAAATAATGTTTTATTTTAGGTGGCATATCTCTCGACTGAAATTGACGATTTCGTTGCCGTTTGCGTGAAGATGCGCAAGGGGCGAGAGTTTAGTTTGCTTTGCTTTGCTCCGTCGGTTGAGAAAAAAAAGATGCTTCGATGATCGAAACTAACATGCATTTCTATTTTGACCTTATGGGATTGCTCCGTTTTGCCAATGCGTTGGCCTCGCATACAGAGAGTGTAATAAAAATGTTTTACGTACACAGTGTCTCTTTAATGCATACACGTCCACGTAATTCATTCACACGCAGTACTCAAAACTCATTCATTCCGCGTTTGACTTTGAAACGGAAGGTTATCTAAAACAGTATTGCCACCAAAGCAAAGTATTCCGTGTATTTGCAATAATTTAATTACCTAGCTCTAAATTTAATAAAATCGTTCTTCTAAACAATATTAACCTGCTTTAGGATGTCCTTGAAAAAAATGTATTCTTTTCACTCCCCACTCTGTCCTTTACCCAATAACCTTGAGAAATTACACCGTTAATAATTAATAGCAAAACAGGAGTGGGATGTCCAATAGGGATATATATATATATTTTCTCTCTTGCCATTTAGTTTGCCCGGGATAAAGACGTCTTGCTGCGAAGGAAAGGTCATTTTTTTCCTTGGATTTAATGTGGCGTTCATCATTTGCGATTGCGGATTTACGCGTTTTGTGACTTCCTAATATGCGTGTTACTGTACGTTTGTTGCTGAGATTGTTGTCAACGTATTTGGTTTGAACTTTGCAATGTGGCCATTGCCAGTGTAATTGACATTTCGACCATGCTATTGTTCAGAGGAAATTCGGCAATTAGAGGCTGAGTTTTTCTATCTCTCTCGATTTTCAACATCCGAACAACGAAGACGATGGATTTATCTACGGTTTAAAATTCATGATCGTGATTGAATCGTAAAATCGACACGGTGACTTTTAAGTTTACTGTAAGCACGTGCGTACTTTTAAATGACAACAATGCCGAGTAGCTACATGTACAATTATTTAAGGTGTGACGTTCTCATTCATGTACCAGATGTGGTCACCCATCCTATCCACAGCCAAAAACAATCATATTTTTGAAATATAATTTAAGATTCGAATACAAATTTGGAATTCAGAGCCTAATATTTTATAACTCTGCGTTGTGGCGAAATATATATCATCCCTATTATCACCCGTGATCAATCTATTGCTGGATGAAGGCCTCCCGACGGCACGTATCGGCACGTGTGCACGGTCACCCCCAAAAAGTGAGCACAGAGGGGGAAATAAAGGCTCCTGTCGATACAAAACCATTATAATCATCATCGTCATTGAAAAATCCTATATTGGAAAAGTGCTATGAGTAGGCATCTTTACGTACACAGAGAATGAGATGAGCAAACCCTCTCTGCTCTTTGACGATCGTGGAAAAACAAAACATAGACTCAAAGGCGAACAAAAAACTCATGAATATAAAAAATGTGGCCTTTTGTCTATCGTGCCTGCCACTTGATCAATAACATAGACCACCCTCCATCCTCTCACTCCCCTCTCTCTCTCCCCGCCTCCCACCCACCCAACAACCTCCCTCCCTCCGCCCAACGCCACACCCGTCAATCCCTAAATTGAGCCATCATCAACTGAGCAAACATTCCGTAAAGAACAGCCTGCCTGGGTCGCGAGGCTGTCCCGCTCTCTGGGTTCCCGAGAGAAGGTGTAAACTGCCACTTTCGCCGTCAATCCCGGTGTCCAATGTGTTTGTGGTCTGTCTTGGCCTGGTTGCGTTGGGGAAACTTGCATACTGCGTCTACCCGAATTCGATGCATTTCATCAGTCGGGGGATGAGAACACCGACATTGATTTCAGATTGCGATGGGTGGCATACACGAGTGGGGACCATCTCTCGCTCTCTCGCTCCTTAAATATCCCAAAATGCGAGTGGCGTTGTTGTCAGAATGTATTCCGAATGTTTGCTTTATTGGAGTTAAGAAGATATGATGTTTTACACAATATTGCTGACTGCCAAAGTATGATTTTCTACAAATGCGATAAACTGCACACGTCGGAGCTAATATTATTAAACTATGCAGTAAAAAATAAACATAAAGATAAATTTTTGCACTCATCGAAACAGCCGAAAATTGGAGCCGTTTTAAATCCCCTCGGGATTTATCGGGGCGGTATTTCGGAGTGCCCTATACGCTCGGGGTAATGGCTGCATTGGGCGATTTATTTATGTATTTCCGTAATCATCGCGGGACAATAAACCCTGCCTGCGTAACGTTTGGTCTATCCCGTGGGAAACGTTGGGATTCCTCATCGCAGCACGGCCGAGCATTTGTACGTGGCAGCACCAGTGGTCCCAATGTGATCCCCTAGCGTTGTTTTTGTTTACGGTTTGCTTGTTGTTGTTGTTATTGTTGGTGCCACATCGCTCGTATTAGGGGCAGTAATTGACCCCAGGCCACGTGTGTGGACGCGTTGATCACGCGTCGGAATAACCGCGCTCAACGTCGCTCCTCCACCGTGTGCCAGGAGGTCTCTCGCTCCGTGGCCGTGGTCAGAGGAGGGGTGTTGGGTAGAGAGAAAAAAAAATACTTCAACCCAGGGTCAACATTTTTTCGTTACCATCCAACTTTGATTATAGCTTAATATTTTTTGTTATGCATGATGTTGGCTTCATATGTCACTCCCTAAAAGAGTCTCTTTTCTTATTCCCCCCCCCAATAACTTGCTTTATTACTTATATTTACAGAGCATCCGCACGTATAATAAACCTCCACACAACCAACGTGTTTTGAAGGTCTCTTTTTTCTTTCTTTCAAATTCAAATGACCCCAAAATAACTGAGGAACCTTCTCGCAAGACGACGTGGAGCGATGTCGGAATGCGGCTACACTGCTACACTCACTCCCCCGCTCCACCTCCTCTCCGCCATCCTACTCCCTCCAACTCCGCCACTAATCTGGGGCTTTCCGGGGAGATCCTCATCATCGATGGATTCGGGGCGACGTCACCGCCACCACCGTGCGGTTTGACCGCCGCCGGTGGCATCAAGCCGTCCTTCTCAATACACTCTTACGGCCACCACCCGGCTCCACCGTGCTTGCTTGCTTGTGGCTCGTGACGCCGTGGATGTCTGTGGCAGCGTCTCATTGTAGATGTGCCCGCGTGTGTGTGCGTGTGCACACGCGTGTGCGTGCGTGCGTGCAAATCCGCTGAGTTGCGAGAGCTCCTCCGGAGTGACAGCAACACATCTTGGTAAAAGGGGTTTCGCCATCGAATCAGAATGTTTATATCTTCTGGAGGAATCTGGTAAGCTATAATGCTCTTTTTCACAGATGTCCAATAAGAACGATTTATTTGACCAATTAAGGCCCACTGAGCTATGCAGCTTTTTTTCAGAAGTGACCTGGCCACAAATGATAGCTCAACGAAGTGCCTTATCACGTGGAAATTTATATCAGGAGCCAAATACTCTAAACGCGTGTTCTTTCTAAATGTGTAGGGAAAGAACCGCAGGAGCCGGAGAAGAATCCACGCCACCACGGGGAGAACACGCAAACTCCAAATATACAATAGGCGTCAGGGTCAGGATCGAGCCCATGCCTCCTGCATACCAGGCGAGGCAGATAACATCTCGCCACCGTGGACTTCACAACAGCATCAGCGCGGCGATTCTTTGTATACACGTTGAACTTCTTTCACACCGTACGTAGCCAACTGTGCTAATCGGAGAGGCGGGATCTTCCGTCTGTGGAACCGGCCACCCTGCAGATCTGTTGCCGTTTGAAACTGGAAACTGCCACATTCCCCAAAGGGCTCCACCGCTCGGCGAGCTGCGGCACCGGCGGCGTCGGTGACGGTGATGACTTCCGCGTCTCCGGCCTTACGAAATTTCCCCGGACGGGTTTCCTCGCGAGGTCGGAGCTGAACGGCCCGGAGGTCGGAGCTCGCAGAGCCGATCGCTTGGTGGGTTGTGGGAACAAAGCATAGCGAGCGTCGCGCCAATTTTGTTTCATTAACCAACGAACACACGCAAAAAAAAAAAAAACGAGTTATATATTGTCACGCGCACACAATGAAAGGGGTTGTCAGCAGGGACCGCGTATATCCTAATTGAAAGTGAACTCAAGACGTCGAAGGCGAGATCCGAGCGTCGCCACGCCACGAATCCCTGACGGCTCCTCCGTCTATCACCGAGCATATGACGTGAACTGTGATCTAAGGACGATTTACGCCAAATGTTGATATTTTCACTCAAGATTGGCTGCTTTTGTATTGCCGTTTTTTCGTTTGTACTTTGCCAATTAAGAAAACTGGACGAAGGAGGAAGACAAACCTTCATCTTACAAGTAAAAAATGAATATTTACATCTTAACGCACAGATTCCGTGTTTGCGAGAAGGGTGACTGAGAAACACACTTTGTCGCGGCATTAAAAACAAAGGGGTGGATAAAGGCAGAAACAATATCATCCTGCAGAGTGTAATTACACAGGGGCTTCGATGCAAGTGGGGATTCAACGTTTTTTTGTCGTCGTGTTTGATGGGCGAGTGGAAGCAAAGGGCCACTTGCTCCGTCACGAAGGGATTATTGCCACGTTCCCCGTTTTGTGTCGGTGTGCGGGGATGGATCGGGACCTCGACGGGCGGTGGGCGAGAGTTCGGAGCGAGAACGCAAACATCGGAAACGTTCCTCCGCTCGGTGGCTCCCCGTCCTGCTCTCGATGTGACAACCGTCGTCGGTGGAGCAGCTTTCGTCGTCGTTGATGCACTTTTGTTCCTTCTCTCTCTCTCTCTCTCTCCCGCGTGGATTCAGTCTCACAGATTGTCCGACCCACGCAATGTTGTATTCTTTTCCACTGCGTTTCTTCTTCACGGTCTCTGCGATCGCTCTGCCCGACGTCGTCGTTCCTAACTCGGCTCCTCGCTCCCTTTACAAATTCAGCCGCTCCGATCGTCCCACTTCACGCGTCGCCGTTCTCTCGCTCGCTCCCCTTGCTGAATGAGTCGACGCGCCCCCCACCCACCCCACTCCCCCCCCCCCTCCCATACCCCGCCCCCCGTCCCCCGCCACTTCCCGCCGCCGCTCCCCCCCCCCGCCCGAAACCCGCGGCACCTCCGTGCTCACTCACACGTTGTTGTTTGTGGCGCTGCTGGTGGCCACGATGTGAAAGAGCGTGACGTTGTAGAGCACCTGGTGGCCATTGTTCCAGGCGTAGAGGGCGCGGTCGCGCGGGTTGTAGTCCAGCATGGAGATGTGCGAGTACATGTTGTGGAAGGGGATGTCCACGTACTCGTACGTGCTCGAGTTGGTGCTGTACGTGTAGTAGACCTTGGCGCCGGCCATGTGCGAGTTGGTCACGTACAGCTTGCCGCAGATCATGAACGCCTCGCCGGCGCTCCGCTTCGGGTAGCCCGTGTCCCACGAACGGATCAGCTCCAGCGTGTTGGGGTTCAGCTTGCCTACGACGATGTTGCCCGCGTTCTGGTTGGTCGAGTAGACGGCCCAGAGGCCGTTCTCGTCCACCATGAGGTCGATGTCGGTGTGGCCGCCCCACGAGTAGGGGAAGATGTTGTTGTAGCCGGCCTTGTCGAGGACGCGCTGCATCAGGATGGTGCGCGTGGTCAGGCAGTAGCGCACGATCATGTTGCTCTGGTACTTGTTGAAGTAGAGAGACCCGTTGAACACCACCTGGCCCGTGCCGGCCCACGGGTGCGGCAGGCGGTGCAGCACGAAGGTGTCGCTCGTGGCGAACTCCGCCATGGAGCGGTACTCGCGCACCGAGCGCGTGTTCAGGTAGCTGTCCATGTACCACACCTGTGTGTGTGTGGGGCGGGGTGGAGAGGGGAGGGGTGAAAGGGGTGAAAGGGGGAGATGGGGTCACGCGAGGGGTCACGCGAGGGGTCACGCGAGGGGTCACGCGAGGGGTCACGCGAGGGGTGGGTCCGCATCACCAGTGATTCGAACGCAGGGGGGATGGACAGGACCAGTGACGAATGTTGGGAGGTGCCTCCTGGATCGGTCCGCAGTGCTGCAAGGTTGGCTGTCACCCTAAATGGAACCTTGGGGCACCATGGTAGTGAGATGTTAACTCCAACGCCTGGCATGCAGGAGGTCGTGGGTTCGATCCCGACATTGACCCCCTGCTGTATATTTGGAGTGTTCTTGTCTCTCCCCGTGGTCACGTGGAATTTTATCCAAGGTTCTCTGGGTTTTCCCTCCACATTTAGATACGTGCGTCGAGGATATTTGGCTGCTATAAGTTTCCACGTGATTAGCCACTCCGTTGAGCTATCATTTGTGGCCAGGACGCTTCTGAAAAAAAAAACATAGTTACGTGGGGCTTTCCTGGCAAAATAAAAATAGTAGTTGAAATCGTATAAATATTCAAGGATTTCATATTTGCGCCATTCTCCCCGAACAGTATCCCCTGCGAATATTAAGTGGTCGCTTTATTTTGAAAAATTACCCGCAAATTACTCAATTGGGAATTACATGCTGCGATCACCCCCCCCCCCCCCCCCAACCGTCAAACGGCTACAGACTTTGCGTGACATCCAGCGCCGCCGCGATAGCCTCGTGTTACGGGAATTGCGGCGTGAATGCTAAAAGTGTGCAATTATTATTGTGAAGCAGAGGAGAGCATCCTTGCAAATAGGGCTTGAAGTTCACTCATTGTCAGCATCTGACCGTCAATGTGGCTGTAATAACATTTCCATTCCACAGGGGCCACTTAAGCAGAAACCGGGAGAATGACCTCATACTCTCTCGTGATAAATATAACGTGAATTAACGAGTATTAGTTTGCCTTGGACAACAGTTAATCCTTCAACATGAATTCGTACGAGCTCTTGTTCGAGATGTAGGATACGTGTCTTGTTGGTGCCACTTGATATTTTGAAACGTATTGCTCAGCGACAGCATTTTTGACTTGGGAAAGAAATCGATGTACAATATCGAGCGGCGAATTTGCAACAAGAAAAAATTGGATTCTGCAAAACTCTTGTGCCTCATTTTAATGGGTGCCCCAAATGTATTTTTCAATTATCATGCTTCAACATTTCTCTGCTGCGTCTGGCGTTACTTAGAAAACATGTTAATATCCACATCATTGTTTCTGCGTTTGGTGCTTGCTATACTTGAAATTATAATTTACAATTAGCACTTAGCAACGCTGCTTCCCCCACCACCCCTACCCACCAGCCACACCCCTCCCCAAATTCAAGAATTATATTGGATTCATTTATTCGGATAGTTTTACTTTTGTTCAATTTTCTGGTTTAATGACAAACGGCTTAATGAGAGTCCCGATTGCGTAGCAAAAACATGTGGGGAAATAATTATCGTCAGTCACTTGGCGGCATGTGGGAATCAGTTTAAAGTCGTCATCTGACCTAAAATTAATAATAATAAAAAAATGGGTACATCCTCAACGAAATGTCTAACAAACAGATGGGAAAATTCTCACATGAGCTCACACGGACTTGCAAAAATTAACACGTGCACATCCACTTCAAATAAACATCAACGTCAGCGCACGGCAAGAATAGCGGTCAATTAATTTGAATTGGACAGGTCAGCATTTTGTCAGGGAATTTTTTCTTTCGATAGCCGGCAGTCTTGTCGCAAAACTAACATTTTTTGTTTCGATCGCTTTGTTCTTAAAAAAAATACGACAGATTATTGTCTGGAAACTTTTCAGAGCCGCTGCTTGTGAGTGTGGATTTCCACGGTGGCAAAGATGTTCACTACCTCGCCTGGTATGAAGGAGGTCGTGGGTTCGATCCCAACCCTGATGCCTTATATTTGGAGTTTGCATGTCTCTCTTCCCATGGTCTTGTAGATTTTTTTCCTGGCCCTCTGGTTTTTCCCTCCACATTTAGAAATGTATTTACAGTATTTGGCGACTTATAAATGTCCACATAATGAGCCACTTCGTTTGGATCTCATTTCTGGCTAGGTAGCTTCTGAAAAAGAGCTACATACCTCTAGTGGGTCTTACCTGGTAAAAAATGTGAATAATGTAGTTTTTGTTTTTCTAGCTTGGGTTACGCGTTGAGCATTTTAAAAACAGCGCAGATCGCTTAATTTTACATGCGATCAAACTTTTGGCACGCACTACTGCGGCCATCCGTGAGGATATTGAAGACACCCACAAGCGTCTCGTGGTGAAAGCTTGGGCCACGTGGAAACCCCGGGGCAGTTGCTGAGCCTTACGCTTGGGTAGAGACATGCAGCAAAGCGTGCACGCAATAGTGTACAAACTCTCGTTTGTTTGTCAATTTAAACGAACGAAAAAAAGAGCTTTAATTGCCAAATATTGTTCCATCAATAGCGTGAGACGTGATTTCGTGCGATGTTCAATTGTACCACGTGGCAGTGCCTGGCACTTCGGGATGGCAGGCAGTTATTTACTGATGAAGGGGAAGATAATTGTGTTGCCATCTCCTAGATGTTTTGCTTTATTACTGTTTGGGAGCACTTGTGTGAAAACTGAATATTGAAGAAGAAAACAATCACATTATCCTATCCTCTACAATCCCATAGAGACTGCATTGAATTTCGCAACCTATTTATTTTTACCCACTTCCTTGCTGCAGGCAGACCTGTAATAACCCATCAATAATACATTTTATATAATGTTCTTAAGAAGCGTTTATTCTTAATTGGCCATGGGAATTTAAAGGCCTGGATTTTGTTTATGAAAAATCTGCCACATTAATTTACGACAGTAAAGGCATCACAAACACTGGGATTGAATTAACATTTCCCAGCATAAAACATCGCATCAAGAGCCGGGGGTTCCTTCCCTTAAAAGCACAATGGATGATTAATGCGGTCCCCAGAGTAATAAATTATGAGGCGTTATCACTTTTGCACAGGCCCCACTTCTGGGCGCCATGGCGACGCTAATTTTGGTGCTGGTCGCCCTGGCAACCACCTGCTCCCCCCACCCCTCCACCACCTTTCCTACGCCCCCACCCCCCGCCCCCCACCCAGGTGGCTTACCCGGTTGTCTTTCTCGGAGGCGAGTGGGTCCGTCATCCACGCGCCGAACCGCGAGCCGGATGTCTTCACCGTGTCCGGATTGCTGATCCCCGTCAGGTTCCCGCAGGCTACCGGCACGGGGGGGTGGGGGGGAGCCGGAGAGGATCGAGCGAGTTAGAGGTGCACGGAGAGATGGAGAGAGATGGAGAGAGAGACGCGGAAAGAGATGGAGAGATGCACGCGGAGAAAGAAGGAGATACAAAGTGATGAGTAAAACCATAGAGAGAAAGAGAAATGGAGAGATGCACAGAGAGAAAAATGGAGAGAAGCACACAGAGAGAGAGATGGAGAGAGATGAAGAGGGAGAGAGACGTGGGGACAGAAATTAAGAGATAAAGACCAAAAGAGATATGGGGCGAGGAAGAGAGAGACGCGGAGAGATAGATGTATGGAGAGAGAGACATGGCAGGTTGAGACACAGAAACAAATATTGAGAGAAAGATGGGGAGGGAGTCAGAGTCATGCTACAGAGGGAGATACGGAGAGACACCTAGATGGATTTAGAGAGAGATACGTGGAAAGACAGATTTTGACAAGCGTGCAGATGCGACACGAGTCACTCAGGTCTCTATGGATCAAGTCGAAGCAAGGCAATGCATAATTGAAAGCAGTTAACAGCTGTGCACTGTGTTTGACTGATGTAAATATTTTTCAACACGTCACGTAAATATGTACTTGCAGTTGAATATAAATACAGCTTGTGTAGGCTGCATTTTGCTACATCTGGTCAATTTTGCTGTACAGAGTAGAGACGTGGACACTGACAACAACAGCAACAAAAAGGCTCGAAGCTTTCGAAATGTGGCTGTATCCAAGGATGCTGAAAATCCCATGGACAGCCAAAACCACCAATACACAAGTTGTGCAAGATATGGGCACTGACAGGCAACTGCTGAAGACCATCATTAGCAGGAAGTGTTACTACCGAGGCCACATTGCCCGAAACGACCACAAATACCAGCTATTAAAGCAAATCCTGGAAGGAAAAATCGAAGGGAAAAAACGACCAGGACGGCCAAAAACGACATGGCTCAGTAACATCAAAATATGGCTACAATTAACAACAGCACAAACTCTACACGCCGTGCTAGACCGGGACCAATATCATCGTGAAGTCGCACACGCCGTTAGGCAGCACTAAAGAAGAAGAAGAAGAAGAATTTAGAAGGTTGTAAGTTAGACTCGTCCAACCATCCATCTGCAGTGAATAAAACATAACACTGCCTTGCGAAAGTTGGTGTTCTCGGATGGAGAGACTAACCCCCACCATACGAATGTGGATTTGCCAAAACTGGCTCGAGGTCACCAATGCAGATGAGTGCTATGCCACGCTTGTTTGAGCATGATTTTGAAAATAATTCAGTATTCATGAAATCGTAATCATTATTATTTTCAGACCATTGTCGATCAACTGCTGGGTGATGGCCTCACCGCACTGCATGCTGGTTGTGCGTGTGTTTTTATTTTAGTTACCATCCTTAACCACACTCGTCAGCCGTGACTGGGACATCAAATTCTGGCCGACAGGCTCAGAGCACGGTGTAATTACCTCTGCGCGACAGCTCCATTGCAGCAAACATCCATTACTGTACTGTACTACTGTGCTCCCACATGTGTGCTCCACACCTTCACGAATCCACATGGGGGAGTATGGTTTGGTAACTCGTTTGACCCGCGCGGGTGTGGGGGAGGCCTTCATCCAGCAGCGGATTGACAAATCCCCGTACGTGTACATTGTATATTGTCTATAGGTCCATGTGCATCAACTTCCAGCACGGGTTGTTAACTAATACGTAAGCTAACTTGAATTATTGCCGCTTCGGTGATCATACACGGCGTTATTGAATGAACATGAAAAAGCAAGGACGTTTTCCTTCTATCGCTGAAAGGAAAATGAAATCTCAGAGTTTTGGCCCCGCTGGGCTCTGTCTTGATATTGTCAGAGATTAAAGTCGTGCGGCTAAAATGTCAAAACTTTATAAGAAACCGTTCCCTCCCTGCGATAATGGCAGCAGCAAACAGCAACGAGACCAGTCCGCGTTTTTTTTTTTCACATGACCGTCCAAACACACTTCCCGGGAATTTACAAATTACGGATTTCTCCGGCAAAGGTGTGTGTATCTTATTGATCGCCGCGATACAAAATCTAATCTGCGCTATGGAAAAAGATCGGTATAGATATTTATTTTTTGTTGGTGCGGCAGACGCACGCGTTTCCCGAGCGTGCTCTGCGGAGATTAACGTGGTGCGTTAAAGCGCCCAAGAAGGCTGCCTGCGCGCAATTCTCTATTGACTGCTACCCGGCATCACCGCGGGTTATTCTCCAATAAAGCATTGACCCCCCCCCCCCTTCGCACCCGCCCTCCCAACCCTCGCACCCTCCACCCACCTTCCCTAGCCCCTCCGCCACCCATATTAAAACCCCAGCCTCAATCGAATGCCTCTGTTAAGGTGAGTCCACACACCTGAGTGTCATCGGTCTCGCAACTCGGTCGCCGCGGTGGCTAGGAGATGTGAACTACCTCGCTTGGGATGCAGGAGGTCGTGGGTTCGATCCCGACCCTGACGCCTGCTGCTGTATATTTCGTGATTTTACCGAAAAAAACTAAGAATATGAATCCTTGCAGTCATGAAAGCTTCAAATCTAGAATGTATATTTGGAGTTTGCGTGTTTCTCCCTGCGGAAGCATAGATTTTTCTCCGGGTCCTCTGATTTTCCCCTCCACAACTAGCAACGTGCTTTTAGAGTATTTGGCTGCTTATAAATGTCCACGTGACAAGCCACTTTAGCAGGACTATCGTTTGTGGCCAGGTGGCTTCTGAAAATTGAGCTATGTATACTCAGTGGGCCATGCCTGGTAACATTTTAAATAGCTAAGCCTCTAGGGCAACCGCATCCTCGTCTGCCCCCCCCCCTACCAGCGGAGCGGTGGGAGATGTCTACCGCTTGCCGCGCGTGATGCGCAGCAGCAGCAGCAGGCGATTTTTGCGCCGTGGGAGGAGGCTTCTTTGCGTGACGTTTGACGCGACCGAGCCGATGGGGAAGACGAAGCCGAGGCAGGCGCCAGGCGCGCGACCAGGGTCGATAACGCAACGCGCCCCGGTGCGACGGCGGTCAGGACGAAGCAATAAAGAATACTTAACGTGGCGGGGAGACGCTTAAACACCGCGTGGTTATTACTCCGAAAGGATGGCCTGGTTTATCTTAAAGTGGTGGTGGTGGTGGTGGGGGTTTACATTTTAGTAAAAAAAAAAGAGAGATTTTTTTCGTTGGCGGCTCTTATTTTCAGAGTGACCAATTCCATTAATTGAATGACTGATGGGAGCCCAATAATTTACAGCGCGGCGTTCATCACGAATATTGGCCTCGCGAGAAAGCCGCTGTGAATCACTGCGAGGCGCGTTTACCCAGATTAAAACAATCCAGCGAGAAGTCGCGGAGCAATCGAGCAGAATGCAGGCGAGGGGAAGGGCTTGGGCCCTCTGTGGATTCACTTTATAAAATGTTGACCCTTAGCAGCAGAGAAACAGGATTTTGATCAGCCTCGGGGGGATGCGGGTAATTATAATGTTTATGAGAGCACAAAGGGACCCGAGGAAGAGCGTAGTTATTGCCCCTATAATTAAAAATCTCTTTTCGCTTGGCATAATTGTTTTGACAGTTGCCTCTCATCGGTGAGCACGCATTAGCCGGTTGTTATTTTGTCGTGCTGTGTGTCCCAATATGCCGCTATTCGCTGCGGTGTTATTTACGCGACCTCTCCCTACCGCCCACTTATTCCATAACCGCAAAACCTGCACAGTGGAATAGGGCTGAACGGTTTGGGGAAAATGTCTAATTGCGATTTTTCTGACAGATATTTCGATTGCGATTAAATTTTTTAAAGTCAAGCTTCAGTTCAATATTAACTTTGTAATAGATTGAAAACATGTGACGGAGCATTACCACATGATACCACCAAATATGGACTGCTCTCTATATTCTAATGCAAGGATGAGAACTTAAAATATATGAATTGCTTCCAACGTGTATTTATCAAAATGTTTTAATTGAAATAGAACAATCAAACATAGAACAATTGTTAAGTTAAATAAATTAAGTTATACTAACTAAAAATAAAACAATTCCAATAAGAAAGTAACATGACATTTCAAATCGCGAAAAAATCGCAGCCTTTGCGATTCGCTCAACGCATTGTTTCAAATTGCGATTTCGATTTGAAATCGATTAATCGTTCAGTCCTACAGTGATGTTGGCATGCGAGGGTTGAAATAATAAATGAAACGAAACAATTTCCGTCATCAATTGGAGCGCCGGGGCGCGATCTCATCACATGGAAAGAGTCAAACTGAGTGGATTGGTCACGTCTCAATTGTCGGACTGCCAGGAGAAGTCTACAGTTTGCTGGAGGAAACCAAATCGACTCGGTTTGTCAGGGTATTCCCCTCTTCTCCTGAGTGACAACCCAGCCCTGTGCCTCCCAACAAACGTTGCGTGCCTCAGAGCCGTGTGTGTGTGTGTCTGGAAGAGATGTAAAACTGATGTTACAGACACTTCGCCACTCTTCAATACACAGCAATGTTTTAACCCTGTCAAGTCAACCTAACTGGAATTCACAGAGTAAAAACAAAATCTATGGGCTGGAAAATGTAGTTTGTTTTTATCTCTCTCTCTCTCTGACCAACTCTTAAAAATGAGGCCCGCTGAGACATGAATCCCCGAGGGAAGAGGGGGACCTTGTAGTGAGCTGTCTTCAGAATAAAACAACTAATATTCGCGTTGGTGCTGGAGGAAGCTCAGCACTAACAGCAATGAACATCGGTACAAAGCACCCACCTACACTAGAGCTGAACGATTAATCGATTTCAAATCGAAATCGCAATTTGAAGCAATGCGATTAGCAAATCGCAAAGGGTGCGATTTTTTTGCGATTGAAAAGTCCTCTTACTTTATTATTGGAATTGTTTTATTTTTTATTACCATAACTTTTTTTTATTTAACTTAACAAATGTTCTATGTTTCATTGTTTTATTTCAATTAAAACATTTTAATAAATACATGATGGAA